GCTAATGCTTCAATTGGCGCTTTTTTACTTGATTGAGCTTCTTGAACTAATTGTATAATACGTGAAAGTGTAGTATCAGATCCAACGCGTGTGGCTTTTATCCAAATCATTGATGATAAATTTACTGTTGCGCTTATCACATCGTCACCAACAAATTTCGTTACAGGTATAGATTCGCCCGTTAACATTGATTCTTCCAAGGATGTGGTACCTCGGAATATTTTGCCGTCACATGGGATCTTTGCTCCGGGAGTAACTTTAAGAATATCACCAACTGTTTGAAAAAAAAATTTTGTAAATTATATTATTCTTATTTTAAAAAGAAGAAAAAAAATATAATTAATTTACCCTGAACGAGATCTAAATCAATTTCTTCTTCGACAATGTTTTCATTATTTTTATCGTCGTAACTAAGAGTAATGAGGGTCGCCTTGTCTGGTTGTAATTCCATAAGTTTCGTTATTGTTTCAAAAGTTTTACCTTTCACTTTGGCTTCTAACCATCTACCGAGCATAATAAAAGTCATAAGAAATATTGAGGTTTCAAAGAATTGATGACCCGCGGTTTTATCTTTATGAACAATTGGAAGTATTACACTGAAAATAGATCCAAAATATGCAACGGTAGTTCCAACTGCAACCAAAGTATCCATATTTGCTTGATGAGAGTACCAAATAGAACGAAATCCTTTTAGATAAAATGGATAACCAAGAATAAATTGAACAGGGGTTGCGAGAAGGAATAAAATTAAGGTTCCAACTTCAAGTCCCGGAATCAATTGATGACTGATCATTTTGTTTAAAGGATTATCATCCGATAAAGCCATTTTGACTATCATTTCAATAAAAAATGTTGGAATGGCGAAGCATAAAGAAACAAGGAATCGATTGCGAAGATGTATTTGCTCTTTTTCTGCACGATGTCGAATTGAATTTTTATTATTAGTTTGATTCTTCTTGATTTCAGCTTCATAACCTGTATCTTCAATATATTTAATAAGATCGCGTATTCCAATTTGACTTATATCATGTTTGATAGTTGCTTCACCGGTAAGCAAATTAACATGAGCTTCTTTGACGCCCTTTAATGAATCAAGGGAATATTGAATAGCGCTTACACAAGAAGCACACGTCATACCACCAACAATTAACTTTGTTGATGTGTCACGATTTGCATTTTTTTCTTCATGAGTTGAAGGATCATTTGAAATTATGGTGACTTTTTTTTTTGATAAGGAAGGTTTTTCGTTTTTCTTTTCAATTTTAACATCTTCAACATCAAAACCAGCGTCAAGTATAGCTTGCTTAATTTTGTCAATACTTATTTGATTTTCTTCGTATTCAAGGACCGCGTTACTCATTAATAAATTGACTTTAATCGAAGAAGGAACCAAACCAGGAAGCCTGTCTAATGTGCTTTCAACCGATCGAACGCAACTAGCACAAGTAAGTCCAGACAAGGACAGATTGGCTTTGCAGACATTCATTTTATATAGATCTATATTTTTTTAAAAAAAAAAAGAAATCTAATATTTTATTTTAGCTATCTTGAACGCTCTTCATTAAAAATGACAAATTTAAGTGAAACCAGCAACTATAAAGTTTGACTTTGATGACATCCATTGTATTTAAATGTTAATTCAAAATTTAATGATATTCGAAATTAATTGGTGCACGAGACTGAGGGATTTTAGCCTGTTGATTCACTATACTATCTATATAAGGAACTTTTATCAATTATCTCTCGTATGTTTATCAACCCACAAAGGTTAGATTCAACCGATTGAGTTATTTTTGCTTAATTAACGCCAACTATAGTTCATTTTTGATAACCCTTTTTTTTCGGTAAATAAAAAGATTTCTTTCTCACGCAATTTGTTATTTGTTTGTCATATGATAAAAAATATTAAAGCGCCCATTTTTCTTATTTCGTTTTCATTTTACGCAAATGGATTATAATGAATATATCTCATGTTTCTTTCTATTAAAACTTTATAAATAAAATTCGGGGGAATTTGTCAATTCTATAATTTATTAGCAATCTATAATGAACAATGTAAATTTCACAATCATGAGTTTCGCAAATGATTTTTTAATAGTGGTAAATACCTTCATTTGATTATGTCAGATAAATGATTGGCCGTTAGATCCCAACTATCCAAGGATATAACTATTTTATCCCCTACAATTTTCATAAATATCTACTTATTCGTAATTAATTTAAAGGTTTTAAGAAATGTATTCAATAATATAAAATACATAAAGAAAAGTTAATTAATTCACTTTTTTAAAATAAACAAAAATGATTTCTAAATTTTTATTTTTAAAACTTAATTAGTATTACTTGTCACAATCGAAAATGCGTTGCTCCATAATTAAAATTTACAGTAAAACAAATTTTCCTTTCACGATGTCATAAAGGGGCGAAATGACATATCGTTCAGATCTGCCAACAGTAAAGTCCGAAGTGTCCTAAATGACGGAATTCGATCGTCATTGCTGCAGAAATTAGGCGTAGTCAAATTTCATGGGTGATAGATACTATAAAGTACAATCGCATAATTCCAAATGAAAATTGTGGTCTTTAAAAAGATCCGGACGAACAAATTCTAAAAAGATTCACAAAACAAAATTACCAAAAACAACATATAATTAGGTTTTGAAAGTTATTTATTTACGTTTCTAGTTTCAATTTGTCCGGATGTATTCCGGATGGTCATAATTTCCACACATTTATTTACCATAGGGTAAGTTTATGATTTAATAAAATTTTGCATAAATATTTACAAAACTTTTAAAAATATTTGAATTTATTTGTTTTCATATCATAATACATCAATTAATTAAAAATTGATTAAAAGTTTGGTTGTTAAGAATATTAATAACAAGATTAATTATTTTTTTTTTGTTTGAAAATTAAAATCTTAGAATCTCTTTAATATCAAAATCTGTAAGTTATAGTTATGACCAAGTTCGTTGTAATATAATTCTTTGATTACTTAATCTCATTTATAATAATTGAATTCATCTTGGGATATGTATAATGAATTTTCTTAACTTTGTGCTTTTTGTATGTACATGTATGTTGGACTAAAAAAATCTGCAGGTACAAATAAAAAAAATAAAAAAAATCGAAATTGTTCAATTTCAAAATTATCGTATTTTAGCTAAAAATAATTGTTAAATTGTTTAAAAAATTTACGCACTACAAAAATTTACTGTAAACTGTTCTTGTTCAAATTTCGGGAATTCCGAAGATGCAATAAATCTGATTGGGTGCACATGGTTATATGGTTTTAATGCAACATTAGCTTTTAGCCGTATGTAACACAAACATTTTTAAATTAATCAAATAGAATAAAGCGAAAAAAAATAATTCTAGTATTTAAGGAATATAAAATAATTGATATGTCGAAATTTCAAACAATAATTACACTATTGAATTTACAAGATCATACCATTTCAAAAAAAAAAAATTTAGTATATAAAAATTTAGAATAATGTTAAAATAATACTTACTTACTACTTTCTCCTTCGCATGAACTACTTCTAAAGATATATCAAAAAAAAATGGCAGTTCATTTTGTTAATGACATGTAGAAGCTATTAAAGAATAAGAAAAGGTGGTACATTAAAAAATCGAAACTCTTGCATTAAAAGGAACTTCCCTATTGGCCCGATTTGACTCATCTACATTGAAAAACAAAGTGAACTGCGTCCGAATTTTGTTTTCAAATTAATAACGTCAATGACGTGTGGAGTAATAGTATGATAATTACTTGAAGTTATCGATTAAAAATTTTTATTTTTTTTTTATTATCATTATATCTGTCATTGTATAAATTTACAAATCTACAATTTTTATTTTTTTTTTTAAAAAAAAAAGAAAAAGAATTTTTAATTCCTTTCAATTATACTCGAATTATTCTTTATCCAGCATTCAAGATCGTTATTACCTAAAATACTAACTCTCTTAAGTAAAGGAAATTTTGTTGTAAGTAAAGGCAAAACCATGAAGGAATTTAAATTTAAACAATCATAAATTTCCAGCATTTCTAATTTTTTACAAAAGGCAATTGAAGTCCATTGACAGCATTCTGTAAAGTTAACTTTATAAAATTTGATATTGCGTAGTGATTTTGATTGCGATAGAATTGATTGAATAATCGAAGCTGAATGACCCGATAGATTTGAAATTTCTAACGAAACAAGATTGGTTTGTGATTTTATTACGCAATCTATATTTTTCGCAATTGAAAAATGTTCTATGCAAAGGTGTTGCTATAAAGTCAAAGACAAAGTATTAAAAAAAGTTCTTTAATCCATGCAAAAACAAAATTTAATAAAACACTTACAACGTTTGTACATAATTGGGAGAATAAAGGCATCAAAAACATATTACTATTCTCATAAGAACCGTTGATCGTTAACTGTTTTACCTGTGTAATAAATTTATAAATGTAAGAACTATCAACGGTCGAATCTTCATGATTTTTATAATCCATATTATCCCTAATTAATCCCACCAGATTATATAATTTAAGTCTGACGAGTTGTCCGGATTTCTTATAAATGAGTTTCAATAAGGAATTCATTAACAAATTGGTGGCATTATCTGGTTTGTTCTGTAAATTATTCCGACACCAGGATTCAACTGAAAAGTATAATTTTTGTTGATGTAAATGTCTAAAATATATTGGGTAATCAAACAAATATGTTTTGGAGGTTAAAGAAGGAGGTAAATGAATTATCCCTTGAGAAAAGAGAAAATCTCGCTCTTCTTCATCGAGAAACGATAATAATGTATTTACAATGAGATGCCCAGTATCTAAACATGGATGAAATGGTTGTCTCCATAATATTATCATTGCATTCCGACACCAATGTCTGTTTACTAGTATACACGAATATAGGTTTGAATAAGCGTGTAAATCATACGTTCCGTTAAATACAAATGTATCCGCTAAATGAATAAAAATTTCTTGTAAGATCTCTGAGATCATATACGAAGCCAAATTATTTGGGACGCGATGATCTTCATGTTGGATTTTTCGTGACTTTGTCCGTTTCTTAAAAAAGTGTTTTCTTTTAGAAAGAATTTAAAGTATCGTAAATATAAATTCTAATACTTTATATAAAATATATATATATATATATAAATTTACCTAGATATCAGAAAACTCAAGACTTTTTTTATAGATTTCTTTGACATATTTATTATACAACGATTTCAAACTTTGTGTTTCAGGAAACAAAAAGAAAAAATTAAAAAAAAAGGATAATTGAAATCATTTAAATAAATTAACAATGCAAAAAAAAAAACTCCGGATAATCCAATATATATATAAATCTTGGTTCTTTTTATAGAAAACTCATTATCTTTAAACTGTGAAATCCAAATTGTTAATCCTAATTATAGAAATTATAAATTACTAAGCCTCCAATATTATTTATACCTTTTATATTTTTTTCTTTTTGGAATAGTCTTGCCTAACAATTCTCCTCTTCGTGTTTATTTTTAATAAAGTATTCATGTAAATTTGCAAATTTGTTTAACTTGATTTTCATTGTATTACTTTTTTTATTTCAAAAATTATTTGCAGTAAGGTCAATTCATGCATCTAGGCAAAAAAATGCACTAAATCAAAAAATCTCCTATATATAAATCAAAAATTGAGATCGAATGAGAAGACTTTTTATTTTATTATTAGAATTATTAAAAACTACCTATTAAAAAGAAAAAATGTATATTTATATTTCATGGCGCAGCAGTATTCAATGAAACGGATGTTACCGATTCAGGCTAAGGCTATTATTATCACAATTCATTATCACAATTATAAGCAAGCTATCAATATCAATCAATCCATTTATGTAATAAAATTAACGTTAACAAATAAAACTTTATTTTCAAAACATCACAGCTGGTAATTAAAATTACGTACATATGAAATTCGGCTAAATGTATAACTCCATTTTGTATAATTATCCAAAAAAGGTAAGGTTAAATTAAAGTGATATGGGTAGTGTTCTATTAAAATTGAGGTACGAATCATATGATTTACTATGTCTCATACCATATGTTAAGGATCTTATGTTTAAACAAATTCATACCTTTTTATTTTTATTTGTTATTAATTATCTTAAAAAAAAAAAATTTTTTTCTACAACTTTATATATATTTTTTTAAAAATAATCAAAAAAATAATTTTATTTCAAATATTTAAATTAATTAATTTAATAGTTTGATTATAATTAATTCTTTATATATTAAATACTTTTAAGTAATAAAATTTGTATTTAATAAATTATTAACATTTTTCAAGTTTTATAAATATTAAAATGGTTTATATTTTTTTAATGTATTTCTAATACTTATCATTAAAAGCTTTTATTTTTATAATCAATCTTCAATATAATTATTCTTTATACTAGGGAATAGTGACCATTGCTAAGTCTAGAGCAAGTATAATGCAACATATTGACT